TGGTGAAGTTGCGTTTTGACTAAATGATATAGACATTCCATAAATTAAAGGTTGTTGGTTCTTTTTGTTTTGATGATGGTAAAATTTGAGTAAGCTTTCCTCGAATGATCAAATTTTGATTGTTAATATTTCTGACAATGTTTCATTTAGTATTATTATTAGATAGATGATGGTACATCAAACTGGATATTTCACCAGGAATGTGTTCAAAAATGATGGCAAAAAAAAAGGGTTTGTAAAGATTTCAATATATAACGACGTGATAAGGTTCCAGAGCATACTACTAAAATATTCCTCCGTGGCTCAGGAAATTGTGTGTTGGATAGAATTTATTGATAAATACATACGCAATTGACTTTTTCGAATCCAAAAAGTACCTATATAATAGTAATGGTAAAAAAATGGTATTGATTATTTGACAAGACTAAATAATATTGAATCGAGGTTATTCAAAACAACGTTACAAGCACCTTCGTCGTCAACACGTTCTTTGTCACTTGTCATCAACATCTTTCTTCTCCTTCTCTTCTTCGTCGTTGTTATCTAGTGTTAGTTTCCAAAAAATATAGAATTTCGCAACTATGCAAAAATCAAAAGATTTCGCCACAAGTCAAAACTAGTTTTGGCGACCAACACCACTATTGTTATCACCACAAGTACCTTTGGCAAATGATGATAATAAAAATTTATCAAATAAAAGTAAAAAAACTGACGTATACTTTTGTACAGCAACAACAGCCTGATGAAGAAAAAATATCAACAATAACAAGAAGTAATGAAACATCCTTTATGAATTTAGGATCCTAATCATAATGTTTTTATCAAGGGAACTTGCTGGATGCTGTTATTACAAGTATCTATGTTTAATATGATTTCAACCGAAAAAAATTTCCGCAATCAGACCAAAAAGACAAAAACAAATTACAGCCGAACTCGTTATAATGAAGCGTAACTTAAATAATAGTAAAATCCTTATAACGCGACTATATATGGGTGTCTGAATTGTTTTTGGGGTTGTCTAAAGTCAAAATAGTATGATTTGTTGAAAACTTCTTTTGCTAAGTTTCTTTCGGTTCATAGTAAAATTTTCAATTGGTGAGCATTCCTTTTTGGAAATTTGCAAAGTTTTTGTATCATTTATTATACTGCTATATCGTCATCGTTTCTTGATATTTCAAATTTAATTCCTTCGAATTTTTTTTGCTTTTCTTTTGTTTGCCTCAGTAAAAGATGAACTTTCAGCCGATACCCTTTTTAATTCCTATTTCTCGGATTATTCAACCTTTAATTTATAGACTCTTCATTTTCTTAAATCTTCCTTTCTTTTTGTTCCAAGTTTTGTTTAAATATCTGTCTTCTTTTCTCATTTCTTACCGTTTCTCCGATTTATCGAAGAGAACTATATAATGGGTAATTGGTAATTGGTGATTTGGTAGGTTTCTATAACATGATATTTCAAGTCCTGTGAACATTTCCTGTCTTAATAATTTTTCAGTTCATTATTTATTTATAAAGATGCAATAATAATAAAGTTGAATGTTATTGTTAAAAGATTTTAAAATCAATTACAACACAATAAATAGATTTTTTTTAGAAAAATAAAAGGTTGTATAACAGCCGTGGCAGTGTGATTATAAATTTACGACTCATCATTCTAGTTAATTTTCTAAGCAAACAATTAAAAAAGTTAATTGATCTATTATACGTTTTATCCTTTCAATTTTAAATTTTATTATGAACGCGCGTTAATCACAAATTCGACCACAAGGAGTGAGAGGTTTGACGTTAGAGGAAAGAAAGACATGGTAAAGTGCCGATCTGGATGATAAAAAATTTGAACCGATGAGGAGAGGCTTTTTTTTGTTCCAATTTTATACATGTATGTAGTTTGTAATTATCTTGATTAATTTAACTATTATATTTTATGTTTCGGATCAATAAATTTTTTATTAATTGACCAATTTCTTCATTAGCTTTCCGTCGTCACCAACATCAGCATCATAATTATTTACACGGCGCCTTTACTTCCTTGGTCAGAAAGGCAGAATATCTATGACACGGATGACGGAACTAGATGAAGATTGGATTGGATAGTGAAGTCTATTAAAATATAGTAACAGTAGTATTAGTAAGTATTTTACTTGAAAAAATAATTGGAAAAATAACAATGTCAATAATATTTTCATTTATGTTATATTAGTAGTAGGTGTAGTAGGTGTAGTAGGTCAGTTCTAATTTCTTTTAATTATAATAACAATATACCAATTAACGATTTTAGTCCATACTTCAATTTTGGACAACTATTTCG